CGTTGCCTGWAAAGGTTTGAGACTCAAAAAGTATTTCCATACGCTAAAAAAATTTAAAAGAATATAATCCACCGCGAAAAGAAATGCAATAGAATAAATTATATAAAAAGTTTGAGGTTTTACCTTCATCGTCATCTTCGTTACTGTCATCGTCGTCAGAGATGTCGTCTTCATCTTGGGCTTGTTCTTCTTCTATAAGACAATAGGAGATGAAGTTCTGAGTTTAAACTCCCACATCAAAAAATCACGAAAGTTATTTAAAAGGCTTACCTGGGGCATCATCTTTTACTGGGGCATCGGATTCAGATAGCTCGGGAGCTTCTGGTTCGTCTTCAACTGGAGCAGCTCCAATGAAAGCAACGAAACCAAAGATCACGAGAAGAGTCAACGAGAGCTTCATGGTTGTCAGCAGTACGAAAAATTACTCGACTGAATTCAAAGTTAAACTACTTGTTCTTTTATGCGATTAATACCCATGATACTTCACGATGACGATGTGGTTGTTAGGACGCCGTTACGGCACATTAGCGAAAGGCACCCGATATGAAGGGCACTTATCCTCAATCTATTGTGAATCATTGGAATCGAACTAATGGTTATCGGGTGACTTGATACTATTAAGCACCCACGTACAATTAATATATTTGGTTGCACATACCATAAGAATGYCCTTAAGGAAAATAATATAACCGTATCACAAATAAACAGAAAAACATTTCCACAAAATAAGGAAAAATACGGTTTAAAGGACCTTGAGCTGCTCTTGTGAACATACATTTTCAGTAAAATATTCCTTTTATTATAAATATATAAATAACACACCATACATGACGTCAAAAGGCAAAAAAAAACATAATATTTAAGTATATAGGTCAGGTTTGTTATAACAACGCCAGAAAAACCTTTAATACAGACAAAAAAATATCAAAAGGATGAGTTAAGGTACGTTTCGCAGGGTTGAAGGCTATAGAAATCCAATAGGGTATAGTATTTCATCTCAAATAATCAGCTAATAATGCCTTGGCAAGTCTCACTTAATATTACTAAATGAAAAATAATGCCGGAGACTTTTCGAGTTTCAGTGGCTTTATTATTTTAAGATGAGTATATACGAAAGTAAAACGACGCGCCTCGTTGTAATATTTCTTTTTACGCGTGAAGTCCCTTTTGAGAACAATGGCAACTTTAAAAAAATGTCATCGGGCACGAAATAAAATAATAGTTTTAAAGAACTTTTTATTAACGTTATTACTTAGCAATAAGCTTAGAGTGAAGTCAATGAACCCGTGAAATACATATTTGACTATTACATGTTATTACTCGATAATTCCATTGTTTTCTTTTGTGTCTATTTGACTATTACAGTTTAATTATTAACTTTTATTTCACAGGATCAATGCCTTCACTCTAATAATTCAATCTAAAAGTCCATCAAAGCGAAAATTATTATGATTTTTGCAATAAAAATGAAAATAATAAAAATGCTTAGTCATGTTTGTTTCGACACGCCGAATGCGCATTGGATGGCGTTGTCTCGATAAAAACACGCAATCAAACCWCACATCAGAGTTTATAGTTATAATTGTTTTAGTATCAAAATTTAWTTTTTAAACTGGATCTTATTAAGTTAAAGTCAAACCATACGTATTTTATAGAGTTACAGTCATCAACGAATCCGTGTGGAGTTTAGTATTCTAGCTAATCCTTTATTGTTCTATTTAAAAATTAAAGTTATTGCAAGCGCACGGCAAAAAAACTTGACTTCAAATCTGTGAAATTCCTTAAACAATATCTTGTGGCCTCGAAAAGGAAGTTACAGAAGTTATATTCAAAGGAGTGTTTATCTAATGTATGTATTTCATCTATGTCTTTATAAACATCAAGGGCGTCGGCTCTCGAAGTTTCAAAAGGAAYTATATACTAGCAGAAAGATGAAGAAAACTTATCGAAATGAAATAGGGAATATATTACGTTTGTTTTATTGAAGGTATAGAATAAAATCGACCATTTGGAGTTTATGAAATCGTGCTCGCTGGCTTGAAATATTGTCAAGTTCTCCGTCCTCCATTGAACCTGAAATGGTACGATGACTATTCGAGATCATACGATTGCAATTAGACATGGAGGTTTGAAAACCAAACAATATGTTTTGAAAATAATGCAGCGTCATTTCATACTTTAGAGTGGTAATGGTGAAAATAGTTGATTTTGTTTGAATCGCTCTTTTTCTTGCGTGAGATAATCGTTTTCATTTGACCGTGAAAGATTAATGAGACTTTTAGATTTTATCAAACTCTCAATCGATTATTTGTCTTTTTTGTTTTGTCTTTTTATATTAATATCACATTACATTCTTTTCGTTGCACAATCAAATCAAAAGCACGTAACTTACTCTTGTACAACAACACTTCAAAAACCAMAAAACTGTGTCTAATGGCTTCAAATGAGATTAAAGCGTATGGAATAAATAACATATGTGTACTTTTATAAATCGTGTAATATTTTATAATATTTTTGCTCAAGTTAGGTGTGGTTTTGATTGACTTTATAACTCTTAATTTTGAGGGTTTTTTTTTGTCTTTTCGGCGTATCACACTCATGCACTTTAATTATAGCACGACTTTAAACGCTTTCTAATTGACACAAAATAATCATATTTCACCCAACAACACCTTTGCCATGCGAAAGATTTTTTTTTTTTTGCGAAAAATATCTTAAACTACGATTAGAAATGCAGGCATTGCTTATTTCTTATTAAAATAATAATTTTCAAAGCATTTTAATGTAAGCCTATCATTAATTAATTCAAAATACAATTCAGACATATTTCGGATTCAAATCAATTTTATTATGAATCATTCGATTAATACAGTTATTTTATTATTAGGTTCAATGGCACAGGAGTTCAAAAATAGCTGTACTCCTATACACAAAGATTTCTAAAAGAAAAAAAAAACATAGAGACTGCCTACTTTACAAAGTTACTGTCTATGATATTCTGATCGTTATTCAAGATCTGATCAATCTAATGCGGTGGTTTCCATATTGACTATTTTTCTCGTATCAAAACTTAAGCTTTTCTACACCCTGCAACGAAGCAGCGATGAGCAAWCRMRCARGCAACCTGTGCGCGGATGCAAATACGTCTGTAAGAGCAAACACGGCGCCTACGCCAGCGTCGACAGACTCTCTTGAAGAAGCACCACCTCCTAAGTGGATGGCAATACTTGAAAATCCGTTTGCAATAGACGCAGCATTTTTTGCACACACGTTTTCCTCTTGGGCCTTTTCCGCAGTGACGGTGAGATTTATAGGGGCGAGGGCATCGTCGTGGACGCTTTTTACCGCCCTTTTTTGGATCTGTAACAAAAGAAGCGCATTATAAATATAACACAGCAAGCATACTAAATACAGYTGAACCCCGTTATTTCGGGCACTGAAAAGACACGGTATTAACGGRGTKGGAGAGTTAAATTGCRCGAGAACTAAAATGTTTGTTTTTACAACAGTGGCCGAATGGCGGTGGTTCTATTGTACAATTAATGAAAAACAGCACATCTCGATGAATGATACTTCTTTCTTTTGATACGGTTGAAATCCAGTCTGAATAGCATAATTTTATATTATTACCGTTTGTATTCGTTTGGATAAAGAAAATTGTGAGAATGTTGACCTTGTGGCATTCCATGCTTAGAATTTGTATATTAGAAAATTGTATTATAAGACTTCATAAAAAGTTCTTAAACGTTTTCGACAAAACATCATATTAAACTAACTCTTTACTCTAAATTTACCAATGATGGCAGCAGTACATATCTCTTATCATAACAATATCTATGTGTAGTCAGAATGACCAATACCGAAGTACAAACACTTTATGTAWTATYATAGTGTAGTTACCTTCAAGATCATCATCGTCATCATCAACTTCTAACTTCGCCATGGGTGAACCTATAGATGAACGAAAAAAAAACATCAGTCATTATACCAAGCATATGGAACACAAAGAGGGTGTGATGGGGCTCAAAATCAGAGTAACGACCAAGAATTAAGCGTAAAAAAATAGTTATAAAATAAGATAAATATACAAAAATATTTAAATATCATTGCAATGATTATAATTATATTTTGCCTACCTAGATCTTCGTCTTCTTCCATTTCGCCCTCATCGTTTTCATCAGCTTGTTCTAAAAGTCAATTGAACACGATATGAGTTAAACTCCCGCATCAAAAAAACACGAAAATAATTTATAATTCTCACCTGGGGTTTCTTCCTCTTGTTCTGGGACATCTTCAGTTTTTGGTTCTTCTGGAATTTCGGAGTCTTCTTCAGTTGGAGCAGCTCCAATGAAGGCAACGAGACCAAAGATCACGAGAAGAGTCAACGAGAGCTTCATGGTTGTCAGCAGTACGAAAAATTACTCGACTGAATTCAAAGTGAAATTACTTGTTCTTTTATGCGTTTAATACCCATGATACTTCACGATACAGTGTGGTTGATAGGACGCCGTTACGGCACAATTGTTTATTTAAGAGACCATGGAACTCTTTTGTGTGGGAAGGCACTTGGTTCTAGAAGCTTGATACTCATTTGAGTAGAACTAATGGCAAGATGTACTCAGTCGTAAAAGTAATTACGTGCCGTGTGTAAAGACCATGAAAATCACTCAAAGTGGCGTGATACAAACAAAGCAAAAACATTACCTCAACAATTACTAGAAAGAAACTTTATGTATTCGAGTTGGTGTATTTATTAATTCACTTATTAATTAAATAAATTTCT